TTCTTTTCGATTGAGGTTTTTCTGTCTTATTTTGTTGTTTTGGTTGTTAGTATGCTTTTCTGTATATGCAATGCCTGATAGGCAAACCCTTAGAGACAGTAACTGAATTAATAGTTTCGTGGGGCTCTGCCAGGCAAGGTTGATGGGAAATGTGGAGCTAATAATAACGACTACAAGAAACCAGAAAAGACTCTAAACTTGGCTGTGGTGATGATTGTGCAACTTTTTAATTGGATTAAAACACTGAATTGTATGACATGGGATTTACATATTAATGAAACAGTTTTGGGGAGGGGGGAGAGAATGGAATCTTTCCACAAACTTTGTGGAAGGGCCCTCAGCTAGCAAGGCTGCCCTGTGGGTAAACAGGCACTTCATTCCTCTGCGTTTAAATTTCTCCTGAAGGATTAAAGTGGAGCAGGAAAAGCAGTGTGGCCTGGGGCTTCGGCCATATTCTGCTGCTCACTCCAGTAGGTGTTGATTGTAATGAACTTTATTTTGGAGAGGCCCCATTGAGGGAAGCTAAGATCATCCGTTCCTTTAGCATGCATCTTCGGGATGCCAATGCTATGCCAAGTGGCAAAATGGACATGACCTGCTCTCGGTCTACTCTCATATGGAAAGTGGTGTCAGTCACAAACACTCGAAGGATATTTCGGAGAACGCTGTGTGCAGACGTCATGACAGCCCCAGAATAAAAATTCCTTTTGATCTTTAGCTTAAGAGTAGTAATTCTTACCTGACCTGCTTTATTAAACCACCGTCCATTCCAAGGACCAAACCGTAACAGTCACAGACTGGGGAACTCCCAGGGGCAGGTCTAGCCTAGCCTATGCGGATGCTCTGAGTCAGCATCAACTCAGTGGCAGTGAGTGAATTCTTTATATTAAACCTTTCAACGACGAACCGCGCGGCTCATTCGTACTGCTTATAGTACAAACAGCACATCATTGCTACTTTCTCTAAGCCTCCATTGAGGTGGCCAGTAGACACTTGCATGCATTCAAGAAAATAAAGAAAGAAATACAAGCCCAGAGGAACATGGCTGAAAGTTTTGTGGGAACAAAGTCAAAAGAAAAATTTTATGAGTTAAACCGATGTTTTGGTTTTGAGAGCACGCTGAATAAAGATGAGCAAAACCCCTGAATAAGTCCCACCTAGGATCTAGGTATTAGATGAAGTAGCAGTAACAATAGTTAGCATGGCTGCTATTATATTCCCTTATTGAATGCCTCCTGTGACAGGAACGGCATTAAGTAATTTATATCAATCATCTTATTTAATCCTCACTACCCCAGTGAAATTTACACTGTTGTCATTGCCACTTTACACAGGAAGACATTAAAGTTCAGACAAGTAAATCTGTCTGGAGTAGCAGGGCTGAAGAAAGGGAGCGCTGGGATCCAAACCCAGGGCATGTGATTGTTACACCGTTGGTGCTTTTTCTATGGCACCAGAGTACACAGAGCAGGATGCAATCTTCTTAGTAGGTCATGAACAAATACTACTGAAATCCCTTATTGAGTGATCCTCAGATCATTTCAGAGTAAAAGAGATATCCTAGCTTAGGTTTCAAACACTCAATGTTTGCTCCCTTACCCTGGGTGCCAATGGCAAAAGTCTGAGCCGGTTCTTGATCTCTAATCCTTAGCAAAGGAACAGCGCATACACACAATACACGCTCAATAACTGCCTGCTCATTAAGTGAATACATGTCTGGATAAAATTTAGCATTGGCTTTTAAACTGGGTATTCAGTCTGACAAAGTCATTGTAGGTAGTTATTTTTAATGTCAGTTATTTATCTTTGTAATTAAATAACTGTAATCTTTGTAATTAAATAACTTTGTAAATAAGAGCTAGTTTTTATTTTTCTGAAATCAAGTGCAACTGAACTATATCCAAGACAACATACTTCTTTGTAGGGATATGTTCCGTTTAGCAATTTAAACAGAGGTTAGTTGAGCTGCAGAGTCTGTGGGTTAACAGACTGCAAATGGTTAACAGGTTTAGCTGCTAACTGGAAGGCTGGCGTTTCAAGTCTACCCAGAGGGACCTCAAAGAAAGGCCTGGAACTCTACTTCTGAAAAATGAGCCAGGGGATAGCACCGTGGGGCACAACCCTTCTCTAATGCACACAGGCTGCGTGAGGCAGAAAGAGCAATGAGTGGCAGTTGAAATGTAAAAGCATTTAACATTTTAAGTTGTACAAGAATAATTATAGTCAAACACGGATCTAATATAAAATCTAACAGTCTAGCGATTTAGAGTGATGGTTTAAAATTGTTTTTGATTTCTCTAAAATAATCACCTAATAACAGTACCTGTTAAGACAGAATTGTACAAGCAGTTCAACTTCTTAACAAGGTCACTTCCAGAACTATAACCCAGGTATACTGATAAATTCTCCATTTTTGACCTTCATCTTCCAAATGAGAAAGGGAAAGAAGGCAACTGCCCAGCTCTATTAAACTACAGCTCAGCCTTGTTTGCTTATTGGACAAAGACAAACAGTTATACCTATTTGTATCAGTATTGCATGAATAAAGCACTAGTACTTTAGTAAATTTCTACACATCACAAATAACTAGTCAATATGAACTTGTAACAGAGATGCAAAATTATCACTTTTATTTAAAGTTATGTATTTTCCTTTTATTATCATGGAAGGAGTCTAATCTTAAGGACAACATATACTCACAGCTATATTTATATGGCCTGAATGTTTTGTAATGTAATACTGAAATTGTACTATTCTTGTACAATTCTCATAACAGTCTTATGTTTAGGCTTTAAAATATCCATAAAAAGGAAAAACCTTTCATAGTCGGTTATTCTTTGATGAGATGAAATAGATGACTTTATAGTCATCTTGGCAACACTTGTATCTCCCCCAATCCACGTATCTCTTAAAACAGAATTTTAAAAGAGCAAGTAACTATGGAGACAATGGAAGCTTTTTCTAAATAGTAGAAGTACGGTGATTATTTTTAATTAATCGAATTCACAATGATGAGTTATTATAATATTTAATAATTTAACCTTATAAATTATCAAATAAATTTTCCTACATCTTTTACTATCTTTCCTGGTTCCAGGTATAGACTCAAAGTCATAAATTATTTCATATTTGGCTATGAGGTGAAATAAGCCAAATAAAAGGAATTTTTTCAACCTTTAATATTATAAACTTCAAAATGACTATATATGCACCTAACAAGACACTTACGGATCACAGGTTGTACCATGGTCAGCAGTTTCAACCCCACAGCCCAGTTGAAGCTCCACAAAAGGCAAATGTGGCCCTCTACTCCCATAAGCATCACAGCCTTGGAAATCCTGTGGGACAGCTCTACTCTGCCTATTCTTTTCCCACAGCTGTCGAGTCTGTTCTGTCTCATAGCTCTACCCTATAGGTTGAAACTCTCCCTGTAGACTTCCCAGACTGTAACTCTCTACAGGAGTAGAAAGCTTCATCTTACTCCCTCGGAGAGGCTGGGGGTTCGAACTGCTGGCGTTGCTGATAGAAACTCACTGTGTATAACCAGTAAGACTCTGCTTAAAGGGCCAGTGTAAGTTGGTATAAATCAGAATCCACTGAATCCTGATGGTTTTGGTTTTACTGGTAACATGATTCTACAAAAAATGAGCCCTGATGTGGATTTAATGTCAAGTTGTCCATAACTTTATTCAATCAGAAATGTTAAGGTCATTCAAACTTTATCATATTGGAAAAAACCTATGAACAAGCTTATACAACATGATCTTCACCCCAGTGACATGGATTAATTCCAACTCATGCCAAACCCATGTGTTTGGTAGAACTGCACGCCATAGGGCTTTCAATGCTGATTTTTAAGGAGCAGATGGGGAGGCCTTGTTTAAAGACATGCCCTGGTAGATTTGAACCACCAACCTTTCACTTTGTAGGCAAGTATGTTAACTGTTTGTGCTCCCAGGAAACCTCTGGGACACCTAGGGAGATGTAATTCATCACAACACTATATGCATTCATGGTTTTCCTAAGCATTTAAAAGCATTTTCTAGGCCAGCCCTATCCAAATAGCAGTTTACTTAACTTTGAAGGAGTATTTCATATAGTTTGCCATTTTTGTAGTGCAACTGGACTATTATTGAGTATTACAATACATTTTAAGTAAAAACATCTATGGCATCTCTAGTTTAACCAACTTATCCCATATATATATACATATTTGGCAGCACAATTATAAACACAGAAAATAAACATAAGCTAATCAAATAGCAGGGGAAGTTTGTTCTCATTTTGAACCTCTGAAAGTAAAGTAAATTATTATACAGTAAAAATTATATAAGTTTGGGCAATTTCCTTGTTATTGGATAGAATCTTTTTTCATAAACTACTAGTCATTTCCAAAAGGAGCCCTGGTGGCACTCACTGTCAATTAAGTTTTTGGACTGCCAACAAGGTCACTGGTTCACACCTACCAGCTATTCCTTGGGAAAAAATGAGGCTGTCTGCTGCCTCAAAGATTTACAAGGCTAGTCCTCATAGGGGGCACTAAGAGTCAGGGCTGACTCGATGGCAGTAGGCTTTGGCAAGTTAGTCATTTCCATCACGTTGATTTTTAGCTCCTCAATGTCACAAAACTAATGTAAGTCCTAACTAAAGTGGGCAAAAGGCTTCACCTACCCGCCATTCAAATAAAACCTGACACCAGACCAAGGCAACAGGGGGAAAGGATTCTCTATCATCAAGATGATATGATTTATGCAACTCAGCAAATTATTTTTCCCTTGGTTGGGCTGTATCTAAATATTTTTCTTCTACCTTCAAACATGGAAGTACGTAGGTCTTATGACTCTTTCGACCACTCATAAGGCACTGGCCAATCAAATCATCATCAACACCCCCCACTTCCCTGACCTAAGCAAACAAGTATGTGAGCATCTGCGAATACATATTTGTTTTTCTTTAAACAGTAGAGTTGAGACGGTAAGAAGGAAAAGACAAAAATCTACCAACTAGGCTGCGCTGCCATCCTCTCCATGTAGTCTTTGGCCATGTCTCGGGCTTCGAGGTTCTCAGGATAGAGCACACAGAACATTGCCAAGGCACCCAAGTTGTTTCCATAAATCTCATTCCAGCGGGCACTGTAGTCCTTGGGGTCCCAGGGCGGGAGGTACTCCAAGGGGCTGGACAGCATGGTGTTCACGGCCTCGGTGAGTCGGACCGCAATATGCTCATGCGTGCTGGCAGCCCTGAGCTGGAGCTCAGCTACCTCTGCCCTGGAGAAGTACAGCATCGGGTGGCTGTCATAGTTGGCATTCATGAAGGGAATCATGACTTCCGGGTCCTCGTCGGTGATATGGGCTGACACAAAGCAAACCAGACATATGAAAAACACACTGGGAGCCCCCCGTGTGTGAGTCCTCATCGTGACATCCGATCTCCAAGTCGCCAAGGCAGCCAAACCATCTTCGAAAGATCCTACAGAAGGAAAAGAAGAGGTCAACCGAGGAAGCTTGGCACAGCAGGGAGCACATGACGGGCGAGGCCTCGCTTCTGTCACAGAAGTGTTTCTATTGGAAAAGGGCTCAATACGGGCTTCTGAGTTTAGATCTTTGGAATTCAACAACAACAACAACAAAAACTTGCACTAAGAAGAAACCAGCACTTGAGAACACTTCCTAAGCCCTATTATGCTCTATTTTTTTAAAACGAAGGAGTCCTGGCATGTAGAGTCTTACGCGCTGGGTTGCTGACCACCCGGTTAGCAGTTCCAAACCATCAGCCACTCCACGGGAGAAAGATGAGGCTTTCTGGTTCTGTGAAGATTTACAGCCTTGGAAATGCAAAGGGCAGTTCTACTTTGTAGCTGAGTCAAAATAGACTCATAATGAATTTGGGGGTTTGTTTTGTTTAGGGTGAAAGACACATGGGTTAACACACTTAACTGCTACCCCAAAAGTTGAAGTTTAGAATTCCCAGAAGTGGCTCAGGCTTAGAGATCTCCTTTAGCAAAACCAACCACTGAAAACCCTACTGTATTAGTCTGGGTACGTTAGAGAAACAAATCCACAGCAACTCATGTGTAAGAGAGAGTTTTATGTAAAGATTAAGTGTGCATCAAGAAAACATCCTAACCCAATGCTGCCCAAACCCACAACTCCAACCCATTAACCCATTAATCCATATGTCCAACACCAATCCCCAAACTCTTTCTCACAAAACATCTGCAATAATGCCAACTGCAGGAGGAAAGCTGAGTCAGTGAATGTATAAGCATCTCAGCACTGGCAGGGGTCTCCA